AACGAAGTAGAAATTAACAATAACTCTTTGCACAAGCCAACCTTGCAGGAGAACCCTAAACCTCTTGAAATGTGGGTGCTCCTGCCTGCAGCTTGCAAGGTTTTGGAGATGAAGTTGGGAAGCTCTGCTGGATGAAAGGGGGAAGGCAGTTCTTCTGGCTGAGAAACTGATGAACCGGCTCATTCTGAAGACGTTAAGAATTTAAATGAGATATTCAAGCAAGCCTTGAGTAGGGAAAACCACAAGCTTAGAAGAAGAGCCTCTGATGGGGGAATCTTCCTGTAACCCTGGATGAACATCAACCAGCCGAGATGCCCTCCAGTGAAATGCATGCCACGACGTGAACGTAATTTTCTTGCCAATGTCTTCATTTTTTGGCTTGGCCATTCCTTTCATATATTTTAAAAAACGTTTTCCTTTCCAGTCTAGTCTACAGCCCCTGGTGGTCTCCCATCCAGATTCACAGCTTGGAATTATTTTATGGAATTCCGGGCAATCCCTTTCTCTAGATTGGAATACTTACGGAAAAGGAAAAAACTCCAAGTCAGACTTGACCCCTGGTGACTTTATGAACGCATAGGACAATGCAAGTGGTTTATCATCACCTTTTTGGATGGTTTTTTCTTATTTTGCAGTCTGCTATTCAGCTCTCAGATTTCCTGGTGGTCTCCCATCCTACTACCAAGAAAGTCAGACTCTGATTAGCTTTTTCAGGCTCAGCCCCCCAAGATTGACTACCTTCTGGAGCCTCCCTTCAATCTATTGCATTGCATTTTATTATCCTATTGCAGTGTTTCTCAACCTTGGCAACTTTAAGATGTCTGGACTTCGACTCCCAGAATTCCCCAGCCAGCATTCTGGGAGTTGAAGTCCACACATTTTAAAGCATGCTGGCTGGGAGATTCTGGGAGTTGAAGTCCACTCATCTTAAAGCATGCTGGCCAGGGGAGTCTGGGAGTTGAAGTCCACCCATCTTAAAGCATGCTGGTGGGGGGATTCTGGGAGTTGAAGTCCACCCATCTTAAAGCATGCTGGCCGGGGGATGCTGGGAGTTGAAGTCCACTCATCTTAAAGCATGCTGGCCAGGGGAGCCTGGGAGTTGAAGTCCACCCATCTTAAAGCATGCTGGCGGGGGGATTCTGGGAGTTGAAGTCCAGGCCTCTTAAAGTTGCCAAGGTTGAGAAACACTGTCCTATTGGATTATTTTTGTTTTTTTTTATCATCACCTCTTGCACACTGTCCAGAATCTGAATGGGTTGGGGTGGTGCCAACTGTATAAAAAAATAAATGCCATAAAGTAATATAAAATAAGCCCTTAGAAAGGAGACCCTGGAAGAAACCCTTGAAGAGGCCCGACTGCCGTTTGCCAAACGGCCAAAGAATTGATCCGAACCACCAAGAATGCCTCGGAGTCAGAAAGGGGGGAAAAGGGGGATTTGCAATTCCGGCGGCCCAACTCTGGCGGGCCATTTGCAGGGCTTTTAAAGCCTCTGGTCGGGCTGTTTTACCTGCACGCCCCGACTGCACCCCTTCGCGCTGGGGAATTAACACGCGCGTGTTTTTTTCTCCGCAGGATGCCAAGGAGGGAAACAATAGACAGGAGGAGAGAAACTTCAAAGGGGTCGTTGGGGGAGATCAGAGAGGCGGAGAAGGTGCAATCGGCCCCCACCGAGAAGAGGCCCCTGGAATTTTATGGATCCTCTTTTGAAGTCCGAGATGGCCCCGTGAACGCCCTCCCGGCTTTGTTCCTCCTCCCCTCGGCCTAATCCGGAGGGTGCGGAGGGCAGCTGCTCGGAGGGCGCCCGGGCCAGAGATAAGACGCTTCCTCCTGCTCCTTCCGAGAAGCCAGCGTGAGCCCAGGTGACTCACTGCCCAGCGCCCCAAGCCGCCGTGAATTGCAGACAGTAAATTGCAGCCATGGCGCTGAGTATAGACTCTGTGCATGGAGAAACCCAAATTTTGGGTGTGGGGCAAATCCGTGTAATCCGTTATAGCAGTGCTTCTCAACATCAGCCATTTTAGGATGTGTGGACCTCAGCTCCCAGACTCCCCTGGCCAGCATGCTTTAAGATGGGTGGACTTCACCTCCCAGCATCCCCCAGCCAGCGTGCTTTAAGATGGGTGGACGTCAACTCCCAGTCTCCCCCAGCCAGCATGCTTTAAGATGAGTGGACTTCAACTCCCAGCATCCCCTGGCTAGCATGCTTTAAGATGGGTGGATGTCAACTCCCAGACTCCCCTGGCCAGCATGCTTTAAGATGGGTGGACTTCAGCTCCCAGAATCCCCTAGCCAGCATGCTTTAAGGCGGGTGGACTTCAGCTCCCAGAATCCCCTAGCCAGCATGCTTTAAGGCGGGTGGACTTCAGCTCCCAGCATCCCCTGGCCAGCATGCTTTAAGATGGGTGGACGTCAACTCCCAGTCTCCCCCAGCCAGCATGCTTTAAGATGGGTGGACTTCAGCTCCCAGAATCCCCTGGCCAGCATGCTGGCTGGAGGATTCTGGGAGTTGAGGTCCACACATCTTAAAGTTGCTGAGGTTGAGAAACACTGTGTTAGCTTAAAGCTTAAGAATGATTCTTAGGACCTGTTTTTAAAGTGAACTAATGCATCTTATAATTTCATAAGTAATTAATAATATATTGGAAAACTAATCTCCATGACATTTTAGATGTTATTATTTGTCCCTTACTACCCCTTTATTCTGTTTATATTTCTTTTACCTCTCCTTGTCTATATTCTTTCTTTAAAATGTTTAATTAAAAAAAGGATCTCTGTCTTCTTGTAATTCTTCTGGCCTCCCATTCTTCTCAAAGTTGAAAAGAAAGAAATCCAAGGTGGAGGGCTTAAAGAGCATAAAAAGAGTGTTGTTTTTTTCTGAGCACAGCTGGTATTTAAAAGTGATTTTGCCCACTGACAGCCGAGCGAATCCAAATCGAAGCTTTATTCGTGAGGTTTTCTTTAAACAGCATGAATGGAAATGCAAGCGTGAGCTAAAGCAAAATTAAAGAATAAAACAGTTCAAATATAGCTTGAAACCTTTTAGGACCTGGTCTGCATGCTCCCCTCTGAAACAGGATACCAGGAGGTTATTTTTATTTTCTAGAAATTTGCAACTAGAAACCCACTACTACCATATTAAAAAAGAAAGAAAAAAACTTTCAGCAGTGTTTGCTTCAATCAGATTGACTACCCCATTTTTTTTTTTTAACTTCAATCAGGGGCCCAGGAAGAAACCCACCGCAAGATGATGTTTGTGATGTTGCTCCTCTTGAATTCTGCATCCGGTTTGACCCCCACGTCTCAGGTGGGACTTTGTGGAGCCAGAGAACATTAAGAAAAGGGCCCCCAAGATGATCGGGGGCCCGAGTGCCTTTGAGGACAAGGAAACGATGCTCACGAAGAGATGCGAGTAAGGTTTATGAAGCCGTGCATGTAAAGAAAGGGTGAATAGCGGGGGGTCCAGAGAGACGAGGTCAAAAAAGTCAAGATGCATATACTATAAAAAGCAGGCTGGGGTTTAGATGCAGGGTTGGGGTCACCATCTTGACTTTTCTGACCCCCCTGTCTAGGGAAAAGATTTTTCTCCTCCTATAACATTAGAATCAGAAGCCACCCAATCGGTGGAAGATGTTGAAATCCGTAGATTTCCAGCTGACGAGAGGAGGTTTTTCTCAACCATTTGAGCAATTACCTGTGGAACCCGCTGCCACAAGACGTGGGCTCGGCTGCCAGGCGAAATGGCTGCCAGCGGGGGCCGGGCCAGTTCCCGGCAGCCCGATCTCCCCTCTGTGCCTCAATGCTTAGGGGCTGCCTTGAGGTGGGGGGGCAGCCTGAATATTGGGGTCACAGGAGTGACAATGAAAGAGAGGGGCGTCCTCAGGGGGGTGTCCAATCTGCAAGAGGGCTGGCGTGGCATCATGACTGAAGCTCCGCCCCCTTTTTTGGGACCCCCCCTTGCAGTTTTTTGCCTAGGAGGGCTGCCTCAGTTTCCAACCTGCGGGGTGTCTCAATGCATCTGGCAGTCCACAACGTGAAACAAAGGCTGGCGTGACAGTTTTGGAAAATGCAAAGGATTTAAACTGGATTTGAGACCACGCTGGATCAGGCAGAAGCCCGTCTAGCCAGCATTCATCGCACGTGGTGGACTCCCCTAACCCTAATCCTCCACTTCGTCCAAAGAGGGGGCCTCCTTCCTCTATGACTTTACACACATTTCAGTAAACCGGATGCAATCCGTACTGGCAGATGGATCTCTCTTTTCCCAAATAGAATTTTTTTGCAGACTGAGGCTTGGCAAGTCTTTATAAGCAGCCATTTATGGCTTGGCGTGAACTGGCTCTCCAAGGACTGTTCAGCCGCCCGTGGTCTCCCAGCCCGACACAGAATAGCAACAGAGTGGATTTTACACACATTGTGCGGCTACGTCCCCAGTTCAGACCTTGCTAAGCTCAGCCCTGCCAGCTACAGGCATTCCTGCGCCATCTGCAGGAGGGTGAAAGGTCTGGGGTGGGAACGATTGTGGGCATCGATTGAGCATCAGGAGAACATCTACGGAGGCAAAAGAGCAAGGGGTCCTCCTGCAGGTCTTCTTTATCGTGTCTTTTTACCAGCCTCGGACCGGCTTCCACGTCTCCACCACACGGCCCCCGCTGTGGATGAAGAAGAGAGGGTGCATAGCGGCCGTGGCGCACGCCTATCGTTTTTGCAGAGGGTCGGTCCCGAAGTTATGCAAAGCGAAGAGAAAGAGAGAAAAATGACACAGTTGGAAACATGGTCTGACAAACACACTTTCCCAAGTCAAAAAAAGGCCCAGCAGATGCCTTCCCACAACATGAAAAACCTGCCAAGGGTTAACCTTGGTGAGGGCTTTTTGTGACTGAGTGTCATGTGAACACTGCCAGATTAGTCACTTAAGGTTCTGGGCGTTGTGCAAACCAGAAAATGGGAGATTCAGAATCCAGGATAAATGGGTTGTGTGAATGCAGCTTCTGAAGATGCCAGGGGCAAACCTGCATGGATGGGTCTGTTCGTTTCTAGCCAGACTTACGTGATAAGGAACCAGCGCCAGCAGGCTGCCCAGAGGGAACTTGGGAAAATCCAGCTTCCCGGTGATGGGTTCGATTTTTCCGTGCTCCTGAGTCATCCCCACCAATCTGCGAAGGAAGATCAGGAGCCGTGGGTTTCCTTCTGGATATGATACCCGCCTTACCAGCACCTCGGCGCCTTCTTCCAAAGCCGCCTTTCTGAAGCCTTGCCAGCCCCACGCCAGCTGTTCTGGTTCTCCTCCAAAACTGCCAGGCCGGATGCCCCCAAGGCTGTGAGGGTCCATTTAAGGGGCTGAGCCTGGAACGGCAACTTGGCTGCCGAACGGGAGTGGCCTGGCAACTCCAGCAATGCCATTCTTGGCCCCTTCTCGGTGATCCCTCCCAGCCCCGGCCCACAGGAGCATCACAGGGATAAAGGCAATTTTCTCACGATGCTCTTCGTCAGCCCAGGGGGACGCCTGGCAGCTACCTTCACAAGGCACGTCAAGCTTGGTGAATTTTAATCCTTGTGTTTTGGCTCACTGCCTCAGGGAGATCTGGAAGCAGGGTTCATTTGGCCCCCACGTCAAGGGTGCTGTGCGAAGGTAGCTGCTGGGAAAAGATCTGGTTTCAGATCTTGGAGAAAGCTGCTTGTGGGGTAGGGGGTGCCAAGGGATCAATGGATCTGGGATCGATGGCAGGAAACTTCTGAATCGACCCACCTAGAGAAGCCAGTGCTTAAAACGTTGAACTAGGAACGGGGAGACCCGGGTTCCAGTGCCCCCTCAACCATGGAAGCTCCTGGGGGACTTTGGACAAGTTGTGGGTAGCCCCAGAGTCAGTGTGGGTAGAAGTGAAGGCGCTGGACTAGGAGCAGGGAGACCCTGCACCCCACCGCCACTGGAGACTTTGGCCCAGTCCCCCTCTCTCCAACCAGTCTACCCAACAGGGTTGTCGTTATAGGAGAAAAATTGGCAGAGCGAGAACGACCCAACAGGGTTGCTGTTCTTGTAGGGGAAAAGTTGAGGAAGGAGGGCCTTGAGACAAGGGGGGATGTCAGGACTTCTTGGTGGTGACCCCACCTGATCTCTGGAAGTAAAGGGGGACCCAACCCTCCTTGCTTTTAGGAAGAAGCTGAAGGGGTCCCGTTACTGTTCCAGCGAATCTTTGGCCTGTGGCTCTGTTTGGCATCACAGTTACTTGAATGTTATTAGTATTTTGATTTTGTTAAAAAAATGTATTATATTTTTAATTATGCATCTATATGGATTGGGGCAGCCTATAAATACTATTTAGATAGACAGATAATGAGATAGATAGAGAGATAGGGAGATAGATAGACAGACAGACAGATAATAGATAGATAGGGAGACAGATAAATGATAGATTGATTTATAGGTAGATAACATGATTGATAGATACAGAGATAGGTAATAGATAAAGTTGGATAAAAGAGATAGGCAATAGTTAACAGCTACATGACTGAGAGATAGATAAATTGATTAGATAAAGAGATATATAATAAAGATAGATAGATAAGAGATGATAGAAAATAGAAAGATGATAGACAGACAGACAGATATGGGAGGGAGGGAGGGAGGGAGGGAGATGGATGGATGGATGGATGGATGGATGGATGGATGGATGGATGGATGGATGGATG